GTGTATGCAGTTTTATATACACGCTCCCTGTTTCTTGAGTGTTTCTAATCCTCTAAACCTGAGGACCTGCCCTATGAAGGCAGGTGGCACAAAGCATCAGCTTTACTTCATGCCGTCTCTTGCTTTGTCCAGAGATGCCTTTATCAGTTGTCACCTGTGGACAATTGTGCCCACTTGCAGCTGCATACTTATTCCACTTGAAGGACCTCTGACACATTCCCCTACATCAGGCCTGCTAATAAAGCTTGTCTTTATACTGGAGAGGAAGTAGACCTTCAACAAAAGCTACTTGCATTCCAAAGAATGTGATTCAGACCAAGCATTTTAAAGACATTCTGAGATTAAAGGCAATTAAGTATGGCCTCATCCCTCTAATCTTGTGCCCTTTTACTCTGCTAGCAGCAGAGAAAATGTCCAGTGCCAATGTCTTTCCCCAATTCTTGCTGATTTTTCATCACCAACTTAAAAGACTATGCTAAAGTGATCAGTAATTCACAAATCTCATTGTTGGGGATGTGCATACTGAATATGGTTGTTAGAAGTGGGAGGGAGGGGGGCAGGGGAGCTAGTAATTCCTATTTATCATTTCTGGTGCTTCATTCCCTCATCAGGGCAAGGATTTGCTCTATATGATGGAAGAGTGTCCCATCCATATAAATCAATGCTCAGGATGCCATGAACAGGATCCCACAAGTTAAACTTGCGTACAGCTGACCAAGTCATGCTCTCATATGTGCACTCCTCTACTATACAGACTGAATAGAATGAATCCTTGATAAACTCACAAGGTGCTGCAATTATCCAAGGTGCTAATTTCAAGAACTCCATGCAATTGCCAAAACACAAGGACCCTACCCTACCGATCTGCAAAAATACTGGGAAAAGATATTATATTCCACTCCAGCGGAGAATAATAGATCCTGTTTTCAAGGTATCTTTTTTTCATTTCTCTGCTTTGCAACAAACTAACAGGGAATGTAATTTTAAAATCTTGATTACTTGATAATAGCCCCTGGGCATGCAGAAAGCAAACATTAAAACATTTTGGAAGGCTTTTTTTTTTGGCTACTTGGCTGGTTTTGTTCTTTAAGAGCTGCATTTATATATAAATTAGTGTGTGTGTCTGTGTGTGTGTGTGCACGCACGTGCATCTGCACACCCATGTGTGTGTTGCGTGGAACTGGTTGTGTAGGGAGATTCTTCTCCCATGATTGACTTTCTTTTAATGTTCTTATGTACGTATGTATGTACATACGTACGTACGTACGTATGTATGTATGTATGTATGTATGTATGTGGACAGATCAAGATATACAACTGTGAAATTAGACACACACATGGGGAGATCAAGGATTCACAAATTGCTACGCAAAACTGCCACGTCTAACGGGATGTGCATGAGTACATCGACTGGAATGGGTGAAGGGAAAAGGAGCAGTTGCCATCAGAGACAATTTCAACCATGCTTTGCACTGTGTGGCCATATCAATCTCCCTCACTAATGAAATGAGAGGGAAACGCTCTGTTGTCGTTCCACAGTATTTTCCAGACTCATCAAAGTTCCCTCAAGGCATGGATAAAAAGGCAGCAGCTGCTCTTTTGAAACCATCTTGTGGTGCTATGCACCTCTTAACTTGGCCTAGTCTTTCAAGGGTTGAAGAGGAATGTGATAATGCCTTCTTGAAAGTCTGACAATGCAGTGTTCCTCAAAACCATCTGGTTGTCAAAGTACAAAAAAGAGGGAGGCCCCATTTAGCCCCATTATGCTTTTAGTGACATCCACCTTAGGGCGAGAGAGTGGTGGCGGCGGCGGGACATGGCAGGGAGAAAAGGAATGCTTGATAATTCATACCTTTTCTTACTGAAACAAGGGAATGTCGAGCCATTTGTCCAAAATCCTTTTTTGATCTCTCATATTTTCCCTTGTACTACCCTTCTCCCTCCCACCACAGTTGTTTGGATTTGTTGAATGATTTAGGGAATTGTGTCACTAAGTAGCTTCTTCCTCATCCAGAGTTTGATGAGTTGATTTTCCTCTCCAAGAAGAAGAAGCAGCAACAACAAAGGATAATGACATCATTGTGGGGAATGGGGTCCATTTAAAGGGGCTTGTCACTTTCTTTTTTCAGGTGACTGTAAAAACAAGAAAGAAGGGAGGGAAAAGAGTGAACACAACATCATTAAGTTGTACAGTTAAAAAATAAATCTCTATGTAATATAATGGACTATGTAATAATGGTGTTGAGAAAACAATAAATGACAAACCCACAAAAACAAAAAAGGTTTGTTTGCAAAGCAAATTAAATAACAGATAAACTATTCTGATCCTAAGATAGTATTCCCATAAATACCTGGATGAACAGGCATATCTTCAACTGTGGCCTGAAATAAGATAGTGTAAAAATCAGTCCAATACCTATTGGGGGAGAGTTAGTTGCCATCCATTCTACCAGCCTTAGTTGTGCCCCAAACCTGCAACTTTTAGTTCTTTCTTCTTCCTGCAGCAGCAACTGCCATAGAAAATAAAACAGTCTTGGCCTCACAAGTATTGGGAGGGCCTTTAAAGGAAAGGGAAAGACTGATAGTCATTTGGAGTCAGTCCTTGTCAATTTAATTTCTGGTTGGTTGGTTTTCTTTACCCCTGAAAAGATTCTCAGAGTAGCTTACAAACTATAGTTACAATAGTGCAAAATCATTAAAATACTACAATATTTCAATTGAGGAATTTACACCCTGATAAAACCCTGAAGTTAGCTTACAAAACAAATCCAAATAAAAACCTAAATAGCATAACAATAATAAAGTAACAAAAGAAAACAAATTGAAATAGCTACAAAGGTGCTTTTTTTAAAGAAACTTAAATACTTCTGAGAACAAGATTGCTTGTTGCCTAAAAGGCAGCAATAGGATATCAGAATAGGGGTGAAGAACCAGTGGTTCCCCAGATGTTCTGAACTACAGAAACCAGCATTCTTCATTATTAACTGTGATGGCAGGTATGTTGGAAACTGTAGTTCAGCAGCAAAGTTCCCCATCTCTACACCTGCCCAAAAATGACGTTCCAACATAACTGGAACGTCTGGCAGTCATCTAACCCCTTCTATATTCAGAAAGAGTTCAAAAGATGATATTCACCAAATGTTAGGTGAGTTTGAGACAAATGCATTCTTCTATATTTGTCTTCTCCCTTCTGGTGCTTTCCAGAAACATTGAACACTATAATCAAAGCCTGTCTAGGAACTGTGTCCAACATAACTGGTGGGCAGAAGTTAAAGCTTTGAAAGTCAGATCAGCTTCCTGACTGGTGCTAGGAAACAATCTAAAAGCCACTGCTGCTCTGTTAACACTAGCTCAATGGAAATCAGAGTCGGTTTTCAATCCCATGATTATAGTCCACGTTCAATGAAGTTACTATTTACTTCTCATATTGTGCAATGGATTGCCTTCTTTTTGAGAAGCAGAGCATAGCTTTACAAACCGACTCTGAATAATAACCACCAACCAATCAACCAATGCAAATATCTACTGAGAAAGAAATATCGTATTTATGATATTTCTATAAATATCATGCAACAATGTTCCAGATTTCTATTTTTCAAAAGTTATCTTACAGCAAATTTACATGAATTCATCTGCCAAGAAATAACAGCACATTGCAGATAATCATAGAGAATGTTCTAGGTTACTCGAGTAATAAGGATCATTTTTCATGCAATAAATAATAAGATATGGAAACTTTGGGTAGGAGATAATATTCTAGCTCTCTTACAGAGAAGCTTGTTCACTGTTACCAGTCTAATCAAGGAGAACCAAATAAGTTTCCAGTAATCTTTAACATTCAAAATCTTGTCTCTCTCCAATCTCTGCCAAATTAAGGCAAAGATAGGAAGCTGTATTTAAAAATCACTTTTTGAATCACCAATTCCTGGTCTGAACTGACTCTTTTCACCCTGTGAAAAGCAACATAACTTGTGCACATCTTAAAATGCTAGTTTACCTGTAGTAATCCTCTTGTGTGGGGAGTGGCACCCCGTGCAGAGGGTGATGGGCATGCAACCACTGCTGCTGTTCCAGGGCCAAGCGCTGCAGCTCTGCTGACTGCGCATGCATGGCTTGGAGCTGGTGTGCTGCAGACATTGGGGCAGACAGAGAGCCAGGCAGGTCTCTGTAGGGGGCAGCTGTAGACAAAAGCAGAAAAGACAGAACAATAAATTGCAACTGGACCCAACATGGACCCAGTTCAGGGGTTGTGGCATTATTGCTTAGGAAAACACAATATAAAGAGGAACTGCAGCTTCCTTTACCTTCCGTAGGACAAAGAAGAGTAAATGTCAGCATTGGATAATTTTCACAAAGAAAAGACATTTTCTTTTGTATATCACTCCAAGGCAAAAGATGCTCTGCTGTTCTCTTTTTTTTAATCTTTTCTCAAGACTACATCTAGATTCCAGTCTAGACCTAGAAAATGTCTTTCTTGAATATGGTCCTACCCCATAGGCTCACAATTTTAAATGTATTTATTTCATTATTTTAATAAACTGAATCTTAATACAGGTGGAAAACCAGTTTTGCAGTCAGTTAGCTTTTCATTGGTGGATCAGCATAAGCTTTCAACATCTTAATTCTTGGAAAGAAATTTGTGGAAAATACTACCTACTTTTCCCTTGTATTCCCAGACATCAACTCAGATTATTTATGGGATTACCTGCCTCTGATTATTTCTGTCTGTCCTACCAGATCTGACAGGGGAGGCACAGTCTATCCCTTCAGTTACACAATATTATTTACTGAGTACTAGGAAATCTCCCTTCTCTGTTCTTGGCATCTGTCTAATGGATCAGGTTCCCCCCCCCCACTCCGGAAATGCAGACCCTCCTGACTCTCCCTGCCCCATTTCTGGAAATCTTTAAAGATCTGGATTTTTCCAAGGAACTAAGACCTGAGACTTTAAGAATAGAGCTCAACATCTATAGTACGATTGGATTACCATTTTTAGGAGACCCTACTTTGTTGTTTAATTCTTGCTTCTGATTTGTGTACTGAGCTGCCTATTTTAAGATTGAGATGGATAGCTGTATAATCTGTTTAAAAATAAACAGGTGACAGACTTATTTTAAAAGTCAGATAATTCATGAAGAATATATCTGAGAACACCAGTCTCGAAGGTATTCCTCCTTATCATTCCTTCTGTTCCAGACTTGGAACATTTTCTCAATCCATTTTCTCTACTGCTATACCACCCCCACCACCACCCCCTACGTTTCTAGATGCCTTTCTGGTTTGGTTGAGACAGAATATTTTCTCCGCTCCTTAAATTTCTTACCAAAAAGCTGGTGGCGCAGCACTTCGTTTTCATGGAGTGGGTGAGGCAGAAGTGGGTTAGGTATAGTGCCCGCTGGGTAGGGTATTCTGGTGAGATGTGACCCAGAAGCCAGTGGATCGATAAGAGGGTGAACAGAGGCAGAAGCTGCAGAGGAGAGATTAGTTTTTAGGTACACAAGGAAGAATGTGGGGAACAATACTACATACTGTATGTGTAGGATATAAGGGATTTGAATGCACTTTAGCCTAGTTCCTTGTATTCAGATGTATAATAGTATTATACAACATCCTTTCTGTAATCTTGCAATATGGTATGAAAATACTGTTTTCTATATAAAAGACCAATTCGAAAAGAACAGTGGCTTATCGTGCAGTCAAACAATTCATGCCTGAGGTAAGGCCAGTCTTTTGTTTGTGCAAATACTCATATTAATACGTATATGTAAATATTTAACAGCTTACCTCATTTGCTTATTGATTTAGATGCAGCATACAGTCGTAATCCTGATTTCATCAAAAGTAGAAAAGGATGGAAGGTAAAACAGAGAGGGAGGATGGGGAGGGAGGGAGGAAAG